AAGACACAATGCATGTAGCAGTCAGCATCAGTGTCCACTGACATCAAGGGATGACAGTCCTTAGGGTACAGGAACACCCTATAGTGTTGCCATGGTTACTGGGCAGAGTGAGGGGTGTGTCTTACTTGACGTCTTTTCCTTGTGCATGTAACAGAGTGTAGAGTTCTCTAGCTTGGGATGGAGGGCATCTGTGGTCCTCTGCTCCAACTGCTAGGGTGACAGCTGCTTTAATCTGAAAATAAATAAAGAGTATTATAATTACATGTATGTACTATAAGCTGCAAAATTTGTAAAAAAACCAATTTTGATCGGAATTAGCTGAAACCTTCTACACAACATAAGTACATGTATATGTATTAGGAAAAATATTAAAATGAAGAATTCTTTTCTTTTCAATTTTGGTGAAATTTGGCCTGAGATCATTCATGTACTACAAATACAGTAGAGGGGCTTTAACTATATTTTTGAGCAAGTTCAAAAATTCGTAAAATCCAATCTCAATAAGAACCAACTCAAACTTTCTACACGTACAACATAAGTACCATACATCATGCATGCATGTATCAGTAAAAAATATATATATAAATGGAAGATTCTTTCCTTGCTGTTTACCTTATGTGCATGGACAATAGGTGACATTTCAAGCATTTTAGAATATTGATCAGTAGTAGGTGTGGCTTTAGGGTCATAGGGTAATCCAGTAACAGAATGAGTCCTAAATATTGAAATAAAGAATAAAAATAATAAAAATAAAGGAAGAGAGCAAACCAGTCCATAATATCGGTTTCATTTCTCATAGCTACAGAATAAAAAAGTTAAATTAAATTTCTTTGTTTTGATTGTTCTCAACTAACAAGCAATATTGATGACAGGATTACGGACAAAAGTAGCTTTATAAAAGTCCTACAAAAGAACAATTCACTAGGAGCCCACAGCTGCTACTGCTGCTGCTTACTGGAAACTGAGAGACTAAATGAACTGAGAGAAAGCCACCATGAGATCCACCATGAGCAAATACACGACTAGCATCAACACTACCTCTCTTTACCAGTGACTCAGCAGCAAACTAAAGGAGAGTACATATGATATTCGAGAAATAAACAAATTTTCTTTCTCCATTATTATAGCATAATGATAGTATCATATGCACTCTTGCTATAAGAGGTTAGGGATGGTATTATGAGAAATGACAACAAATTTCTTTCTAATAATTATTCTTCTCTCATTCTCTTTCTTTCCTTCTCTTACTAAACATGTAACTTGAAACTGACTTTTATAATTATTATAGCCCTCAATTAATCCTTTCCCACCTCTCTCTCTCTCACACACACACACAGGTAGTACTGTACCTGCACATCATTCACATCAAGCGTCCCCACGTTGCCCAACAATGATTTCATGAAATCCTGTCCATAGCCAGTAGATCCATTATAGTTAACTATTAAAAGTGAAATATTTACACAAATTATCTACCCTTTTTGGCAAAAATGTATAAAATATTACTACTCTTCCTTCCCCTCTCTCTCTCTTTTTTTGATGCATTACCAAACACAACAGAATATCCAAGTCCAATAAAGCAGGCAGTCCATACAGTAAAATCAGCAACACTAGAAATGTGTGGTCCACCATGAGAACTCACTATCAGTGGAGGAAGGGATTCAACAACACGAGGAGATACAAAGAGAGCCTCATACGGATAACCACCTTTAATGGGATTGCATGGTCAAAGGCAGTCATATGTGATATAATACTGTAAACCCATTAACCATTAATTTCGACTTTTTAAACCATTGGTCCCTTTTTTTAAAGTTTATGGACATAAAATGACTGCATGTCAATGTGCGATTAGTTACCTTAGTTGTAAAAATAAGGTATTTAAATTATTTGGGTTTACAGTATGTACCTGAGTTTTCTCTTGTTAATGATAAAACCTCCCATTTAATGTTGTCAGAAATGGATACAGTAGTCGTTGCTGTTGGCAGAAAAAAAATAAGACTATATTGCATGATTTATATATTTAATTTGTAACAAGTAATCATTTCGACTGACCTATTTCACAAAAATCAGTTTCTTTAAAGCCATCACTGCTGGATGGTAGCTCAGCTATGAACTAATCAAAGAGCAAATATAAATAATTCAAAAAGTGATAGAGAGAGAAAAAAGTGACAAATTAAAAGAAATAACACAACACTATCTCTTTACTATTTTCATTGGTTGGGCTGGGTTAGCATATCGTCCTAGTAACAGGCCATCAAATACATCAAAGACAGCATAAGCTCCTTTCTCAGTATCAGACGTGATACATGATATTGATTTTGTGTTAACATTTAGACACATGATCTCTCTGTATGATTTCTGACAATCATGAAAATACATCTTGTCATTATCCCCCCAGCAACGATCAGGTAGACTGTATGC